AATACCAAGTTTTCTTTTTCATTCTCAAATGTTTTGCCACTAGGAGGCAATATTAGCACACAAGAACTAGTCATGTTTCTCTCTCTCTCTCTCTCTCTCTCTGTGTCTCTCTTATACACACGTGCGCGCGCGCACACACACACTGTACAACACCCATGCACACATGTGCTTACATCCATAAAGCACACATACACATGTGAGGGGTAGATATGTTCACACATGGGCATACCAGCTGCACAGATCCAGGCATACTCACATACGTGTGCGCACAGCCCAAGCTGTTGTGTTTTCTTAATCTTCTGCTTAGGGGCTGTGATGGAGAATGAACCTCCGACTAGTAAATGGGAAATTTCACTAACAAATACTTATTATCGAGTTTGGGGACTGAGATATCAAACCCTACACACTGAAAGATGTGTCAATGTCTAAAAAATGAGCTTTCATTGTCTATATGATACGTTGCTCGTAAAAATGTGTCACAGCAAGCAAGAAAAGTTAAAAAATGAAGCCATTTGCATTTCGAAGTCCATCTTGTCATAATGCAAGAGAAGAACGAGGAAGCACAACAGGGATTTCAGGTGTCCCGGACCTCGTGCACCAGGCTCATAGAGTCTGGAGCTGCTAGTTCAAAAACATTACAAAGCTGGGAGGACCAAATTCCTCCATGTCAGCATGTCGACATGCCTCATTTTATTGCACTTCACTTAACTGCAGGGCACAGGTGTTGCACTGTTTTCTACAAAGTGAAGTTTGGGAGAACTCTATCTTGAGCAAGTCTATCAACACCATTTTTCCAAAGCTTGCTTCGTGCCTCTGTAAAATATTTAAGTAGGTCTGTATATTGTTTTTATTGTTTTTTTAGACATAATGCTACCACACAGTTAGAGTCAACCGTCCAGTTTAAACATAGCTTTTATATGCACTGGAGAATCAAAATATTCATGTGAGTCACTTTCCAGCACTTTGTGATGGTCTGGAATCCAGCCTCCGAGTTATGCCTGCAAAGAACAAAGATCAGCCAGTTCTAGTTCACTGTCTTCACCAGGCTGCCTGGTGGGAGCAAAGGGTACCGCCTTCTGGACTATCAGCCAGCAGGGGAGAGCTCCACGCTCTGTTGCTAGGGAAAGTACAGCTGAACTTCTATGACAGACAAGCTGGTGATCCAAGCCTTTGAGAAGGATAAAATTACAAAACACGGTCTATTTATGGTACTAAATGGATGACACAATAACTAAATAAGGAAGTTGCAACTGGGTAGCTTCTGCTGATGGTTCCTTTAATCCAAAATGCCTCTTCAGGTTGCCCAAAAAAGGTAGATTTTTCTTTATATGGAAATATCAATACATTAAAGGAATCAGGACTAGTGCCTAAGCTCTAAGTTCTACTCTGTTTTCTCAGGGGTCCAAGCATATCCAGTAGTTTTTCTCATTGTCTTCCAATGGGGAAAAAAATGGTACAAAAAGTCATTCTCAACAAAATTTCCAAATTCCAGGAGCTTCTCTGTGGAATAGGCCGGGGCAGCGGAGATAGTAGCGTAGTGCAGGTCTGAATAAAAAAGGAATGTTAGACTTGGAAGTCTAACATTCTGAACAGATGACGTTACCAAACAGACTTAAAGCTACTGTAACCAAGATAGCATGGTGTTGGAAAAAGAACAGACAAATAGAATGGACCAGAATAGAAAGCCCAGAAAATGCCCCCCTCCCTCTTTAACAAGACAGCAAAGACAATAGATGAAACAGAGAGAGCTTTTTCTATAAACAGAGCTGAATAACTGCTTATCCACATGGGGAGGAAGAATCCACACACAGACCTTCCATAGGGATAGACCTAAATGTGAAAAATAAAACTCTTAGAGAATAATACAGGAAAAAAATCTAAATGATCTTGATATGGCAATGCCTTTTTAGACACAATTCCAAAACAAGATCCATGAAGGAAATCACTGTTAAATGGGGACTCATTAAAATGAAAAACTGCTTCACAAAAGACAATGTCAAAACATTGAAAAAAAAAAGTCACAAATTGGGACAAAATACTTGCCAATGGTATAGCTGATAAAGGGCTCTTACACAAAATACACACAGATCTTTTTACAATGGGCCAAAGACCTTAAGAGATACCACACCAAAAAAGACATATGAATGGCAAATAAATGCATGAAAGGTGCTCTATATCAACTATCACCAAGAGAAGAGAAGTGCAATTAAAACAACAGATACCACTACACATCTATTACAATTCTCTGCATCCAAAACATGGACACCACTAAATGCCTACAAGGATGTGGAGCAACAGGAACCCTCATTCACTGCTGATGGGAACACAAAATGGAAGTCAGTTCTGCAGTGTCTTTAAAACTAAACATACTCAATGACATGGGCTATAGGAAGAAAGGGAAAGTTCTCATTTCCTCTCTGGGTTTTTCTCCAGCTAGTTGAATCATCAAATTAACATCAAAGAGATTCATAAGAGGAAAAAGCAAAATCAAATTTTAGTATGTGCCCTTGGGAAAGATGCTGGCACAAAGGATGAGCCAAGATACGGGATACGGGCTTAGGATATAAGGCGAGTGAAAGGGATCACCCCTAACAGGAGAGGGCGATTCACACACTGAAGAGCATGCTCTGTAATTAGATGTTGCCTGCTATATAATATAAATAGGTTTTTCATAGAGAAGGGCTATCTATGGCAATAATCCTAATTCTGGGTAAAACCCCCAATTTTTACTCTTAGGTGGGTAAAGAAGTGGTAAAAGTTTCTGGTGAGTACAAATTTGCAGTTTTAAAATTGATAACGCCTAGGGATATAATACACAGCACAGTGACTAGTTACGAACACTGTATAATATGTATATGAAAATTGCTGAGTAGATCTTAAAAGGTCTCATCATAAGCGAAAGGATTGTAGCTATGTGTGGTGATGGAGGTCAACTACATGTACTGTGGTGATCATGTCATCACATGTACAACTACCAAGTCATCGTGTTGTACAACTGAAACTAATATAGTAAGCAAACTCCTTGGTATTTACCCAAAGCAGGTGAAACTTAAGTTCACACAAAAATCTACACACAGATGTTTACACCCTCTATTCCTAATTACCAAAAACATGGAAGCAACCAAGATGCCCTTCAGTAGCGAATGGATGATAAATACACAAGTCCAACCAGACCGTGAAATATTACTCTGTCATTTAGAATAAAGGAGCTATCACGCCATTAGACATGCATGCTTACTAAGGAGACAATTCAATCTGAATAGGCTGCATATTTTATGATTCCAACTATGTGACATTCGGGAAAAGGCAAAACTATAGAGACAACAAAAAGACGAGTGGTTATAGGGCCACAGAGGATTTTTCAGGAAGTGAAAATACTCTGGATGGTATTAAAGTGATGTTCCAAACCCACAGGATATACAACACCAAGCGGGAACTCCTAGGTTACACTGGACTTGGGTGATTACGCTGTCAAAGCAGGCTCATCTTTGGTTAAAAAAAAAAAAAATGAACATCTGTAGTAATTATAAATGGGAAGATTTTCTTGATTTCTTCTCCTTCAGATCGATTGCATGGGACTACAACCAAGATGAAAAAGCATACATTGTGCAAAAATGAAGAATGATGTAAAAAATATATAAAATTAAAAAAATATAATTTAAAAAAATGAACCTTTCTGGGCCTCCTGGTAGCTTATGGGTTAAGTCTCTGCACTGTCACCACTGCGACCTGAGTTTGATCCCCAGCCAGGGAGCTGACCTACATGGCACAGCAGACCTCCCCTGTCTTGCCCACTGCTCCCCTCAGTGGTGTATTATAATAGATCTACCTGTTCTGCTCCCCAGTCTGTCGCTGGTAAATCTTCCCACCTCCTGTACCTCTGGCCTACATCCAGTTCTTTTATAAATAAATAAATAATCTTTAAAAAATAAAATGAACAATTCGGGGAAGTGATGTTGGTGATGGGGGGGAGGACTTTGGGGGAAGGACGAAGGGAACATGTGGGATCTCTGTATCTCCAGTTTTGGTGTAAGCCAAAGGCTGATCTTAAAAATATATATATTTTTAAAGATGTACTTATGTATGCAGACAGAACTGGGATACAAGCCAAAGGTGCAGGGGTGGTGAGAGGATTCACCAGGGACAGAGTGGGGAGCAGAACAGGCAGACTGATGAAGTACACTGCTGAGGGGAGCAGCGGGCGGTCAGGAGAGGTCTGCCGTGCCATGTGCGTCACCTCCAGAGCCGGGTATCAAACTCACACTGAAGTAGCTGTAGCTAGCTTGCAGTGCTGCGTCCTAACCCATTGCGCCACCAGGGAGGGCCCTGAAAAAGTTCTTTAAAAAGTAAATGATATAACAATAAACATACAGTATTTGTGTATTTATTTTGTTTCCAGTGTGGAGGGGTTTATTTTCACATGGTTTATGCCCTTTGGACTTTAAGCTGTCCCAAATCCTTCTGGAAAGCAGGCATGACAGGACACTGAAAAGCTTTTGGACCAGTTATTAAGTTATTCACCAACTACTCTGAATGCCAACCATGAAGTCACCAGATCTTCCCATAAGACCTTCTTCCTGCTTGTACAATCTTAACAACTAAAGATTAATACCTGATGCGTCAGGGGTGTTCCAGCCTCAGCCCCAGCCCCAAGCCCTAGTGCCTAACTCCTGTCCAGGACCATCACCCATTCCAATGGGTCCCAGGCCCTACCACACCCCTGAGGCGGCCCAAAGGAGCCCGCATTGAGTGTGCTCCCTCACGGGGCAGGACCCGAGTAACCCACACCATTGCTGACGCTTCCCATTTCACAGCCTTGAAAAGATGACGCTCTAGACTTTTTGGGTCTCTTAACCAGATAGCACAGTTAAAACTGAACAACCATTGGAGTAACACTGCTTTGGCCAAGGCAATAAAATCAGTAACTTTATTCTTCACAACCTTCAGGTGCCTTGGATAAACAGAGATACAAGGATGACATTTAATTTTGAATCCAAAGATCAGTTTTCACATGGTTTTACGTCCCATGCATCCGTCTTCCAGAAAGCCAAAGAACTGTGTTCTGTTTGGGGAGAAAAAGATAAATATTCTAAGAGACACAATCATTTCTTGAACTTATTAAACAGCTAAGCCAATTCAAATACATTTTACAGATGTATAGAATAAATTTAATTGTAGGACTGAAACTAGTTAGGAAGGGGTTTAAGTGGTAAGAAAACCTCAAGTGAAGGGTAAAACATTTCCCAGAGAGAAAGTAAAATGTTCTAGGTAATGGTGATAGTCACAATTAAAAAAAAAAAAAACAATTGAATCAGTCTTTAATTTGCCAAGATACTTCCAGGGTTCCATTTGTTTTCAGGGAGGGAAAATAGCCTGAAGAAATATACCAATAAAGTTCTGGTTGGTTTTGTTTTACTTTTTTTTTTTTTTTTAAGATTTATTTATTTATCCTTACACAACTGGGGTGCAGGCCAGAGGTGTGGAAGGTCAGAAGATTCACCAGAGACAGAGTAGGGAACAGAACAGGCTGACTGACAAAGTACACTCTGAGGGGAGCAGCAGGCGAATCAGGAGAGATCTGCCGCGCCATATGGGTCACCCCCCTGGCCGGGTATTGAACTCGTGCTGCAGTGGCATCAGAGAGTTTCATAATGTGGTGCTTTAACTCGTTGTGCCACCAGGGAGAGCCCGTTGTTTTATTTTTTTTAGTCATCCTCTTCTAATATTTTTCCTACTGATTTGCACAAGGATTACTGTGTACTGTCAATTTTAGTATTTGACAAAATAAGAGCTCTGCCTTATTTTGAATAATAGCAATTTATTCAGTGCATTTTTAACTATGGTATTCATAATTATGATTATAATATATAATGTTACATATTATATAATTATATGCCTCATAGAACTATATACTGTATGTAAGTGTATGTAATATGTAATTATATATCATAATACAAACTACATTATATACATATAATACATAATACATTGCATATTAAATGTATGATTTGTGTTATATTAAATATGTAATTTTTTATACATAATTAGATGTCATATAATTATAATTATGAACAATTTAAAGTTAGAAATGCGCTGAAACACTTAATGTTGTTCAAGATAAAGCAGAACCCTAGTGAGATGTTAAATACTAAATATTTATAATTACATATTATTTAATAATATTTTAAATTACAGCCAGTTGCCATTGGTTGAGCACTTAACACATGTCATGGGCATTAGTTCTAATAATCAAACCTATGAGGTAGGCACTATTTACTAGTTAGCATTCCCATTCTCTCCCACTTCCTCTCCCTCTTCCTCAGCCTCTCCCTCTCCTTCTCCTTTCCCCTCCCTCCTCCCTCCCTCTCCTGCCCCTCTTTCCTCTCCCCTCCCTCTCCAGCTGGGCAAGTCTCAGACCTGTCTCTTCTCTACCTGCTCCACCTCCATCCTCTCTCCGCCTGTGCCATAGAGCCCTCGACACCCTTTAATGCATTTCTAATCCTAGAACCAACAGCAGCTCAAGCCTCTAACTGCCCCTTTCTTCATAGCATGGATATTTCAACCCTAACTCTGAAACTTAAAAGGCTGGCAGCTCTAAATACTGACGGTCAAACACTACTCCCTTTACCTCACACAAACATAAATCATCTTCCTTAAGACAGTTTTTCCTAATGAATAATTTGCTAATTGGTACTTTTCAAACTTCAAGAATTGCTGAAGGGAAGAAAAAAATTATAATATCTATAAACCAATTGCTATTGCCACTCATTTGGGATGCTTTCTTTATAAACTGGGACACAAGATGATAGAAGTCTTTTTTTTCTAGTATTCCATTAAATATTATAAATCAGGGCCCTCCCTGGTGGCACAGCGGGTTAAAGCACACCACTAAGAAGCTTAAGCCACTTCTGCATGAGTTCGATCCCCGCCTACCCCGGAGGAGATCCACATGACGCGGCAGACCTCTCTTGACCTGCCCGCTGCTCCCCTCAGCAGTGTACTTCTTCGATCTGCCTGTTCTGCTCCCCACTCTGTCCCTGGTGAATCCTCTCACCCTCCGCATCTCTGGCCTATACCCCAGTTCTGTATGAATAAATAAATAAATCTTTAAAAACATTATAAATCAAACTTAATTGGAAACTTACAATATGGCATAATACATCTCAACATTCACCCAACAAACCTTGAATTTTAAGGTAAAGAATTGGGAAGGAAAAATGCTCACACGAGTGGAGAAATGTAAAGGTACCTTATGTCTCCATCTCCCTATTTCCCCCTGCTCCCCTCCCCCACCTTCTAAAAACCCAATGCCCAGACTGACATGGCTCCTTAGAGTCATTATGCAGTAAAAGTACTAGTTACGGTGAGGGAAAAGTGCGAGTCCCAGCCTAAAGTTCCAATGTTTGACTTACCCTTGAAGCATTTGGGGACTTCAAAGGTGCCATCGATGCACTGAGCTTCCTCTGTATAGCTACACTTCTTTTCCTTATTCTTGCAGAAAAAAGAAACTTTTTCACCATGCAGCATGCCATTCTTAAATTTGTCCTGTAGCTTTACTCTCTCTCCCTTGTATAGCACAGTTGCTTTTTTAACAGGTATGCTGCAAGACGCTAAAAAAGATAATATTAGTAGTCAAGATGTAAGAGTTCAATCTTTCTGAAAGACAATGAAGTATTTGAATACTGGGTGAGTACATCTGAAACCAGTGGTTTAAGACAAGAAGATTCCAAGAAGGAACAAAGTGGGTAACATCAGTCTCTGCTCACTGAGCATTTTATCAGCCACCCCATCAGTTATGGCTTCCAAGATGGCCATGTCTTCTTCAGCAGGAGCCACATAAAAAGGCATAAAAAGCTCAGGAAGAAAAGCATCCGATTCTAGATCTTCAGTGAAAAAGAGCTTCTACCAGATCCTGCCATTCCACATAAGCCTACATCTCCTGAATCAGATCTCATTTATTGAGCTCGTTTACCCATCCAACCAACCAGTGTGAATGTTGGCTGATAATAGCTTACAAGTGTTCCTCCCTCTGAAAAACTGTCTTTGGCCATAGAAATCCACCTAACCTAGAAAGTTATTTGAACCGGCTCCTAATCCCAGGGTTGCAGAAGGAAGCAGCCCATAACCAATGACTTACTGACAAGGGAATACAAAAATTGGGTCCACCCATTGATGGGATAGCTCTGGGGCAGAATTCATGCTCCAGATCCCTCATGGCAATGACACTGACACTAGACTATGGCTGAGACCACATCTTTGTTCAAAAAAATAGCCTCTGGTTCAATAGAATCACCTGGGAACTTGGAGGAAGTACAAATTCTTTAGTTCTATCCAGATCTACTGAACCAGAAACTGTTTAAACAAGCCTGGTGGTTTATTCTTTTCATGAGAATGTCATTGACCAAATCAAGGTTAAACAATCAACTCAAAAAGAACCAAGGGCTCAGGAGGAAGAGGTCAGTTAGTGAGGAACACTTTAGTTGAGAAGTCCCGGTGCAGTCACGCCAGGTTCAAGGTGAGTGAGCAGAAAAAACACGATGACAGAAACCATAAGGCCACTGAGACATGGAAAGAACAGCGATGGTTCCTATTTTCAGTTCCAACCCTTAGAAGAACCTGTGTTTTGTCTTCGGATCTTCAACGTCCCTAGTATTGCCTGTTGCCCTGTTATAATAATCCCTATTTCCTCTAACAAGGTTGAATGTAGGGCTGGTTGTTGTCATCACCAACAAGAACAGTGTTGACTAGAACAAAGCAGAAAAGAATGCTCATAGGTAAAGACTAAAGCCAAATCTCAGAAATGCTTCTTAAACAGGGAGCTCCCCACACACAGATGGATCTTGAAGTCTTTCCCATGCCAATAACTGGGAAGCCAGTCTGAGCAACCACGGGGGAATCACCAAAACAAATGACCAGAAAATGCAAGTTGTGGATAACTTCAGAGATGTTCAAGACCTTACCCATATGTCTTACCTTTACAAGTGGGCTGTGCAGACCAGTTTCCAAATTTGTTACATTCCACTACTGCTGGGCCATCTAAAACATAGTTATTGTGGCAACCATACGTGGCTTTATCCTGGTAATGAAGTGCTTGTTTTGCAGGATAGTTCACGAATCCATTGTCTGGTCTTGATGGGAATGGGCATTTTACTTCTAAAAGGTTTATTCAATAAGACAGGTTAGTATAAGTAGCACTGTTTAGTAACTATGGATTAGACACATTCTAATCCCTATTCCGCCAGTGAATCAGGATCTTCCTATCACTGGAATGCAATTTCTAGGTTCCTGGTGCTTAATTATGTCCTGGTTATTTTATACTTGGGGGACCATGGATATTTAAATAAAATGAAACAACACTTTGAAGGTAAATGAGTGGTATTTCACCATGTTCTTAAGCTGTCACATAATCATAAGGTCTGACTTATTGTATATATTTCATTCCCACGCAGTCCATGAGGGTGGATTGAGAAGTCTCTTTTAATCAGCACACCATGAAATTAAAACGCAAGGACTTCCTTCATGCACATGAGTACACCATTATTTGGATTTTAAATGTTAAGACTAATTTTTAGCACTGCCTTCAAGTGATGCAAAAATCCAACATGAAAGGAAAGGAGGAAAACAGTGCTGCTTGGTCATCTTAAGGTCCTCCATAGGGGATCTTATTCCTATTTGCCCCTGTACAACAGCAAAGGGAGAGCCAGGGAAGAGTGCCGAGCTTTGGAGAGATCATTTAATTAGGTAACTTAAAAATCCAAACTCCAGGCCCTCCCTGGTGGTGCAGCAGGCTAAAGCACAGCACTAGAGCTAAAGCCATTTCAGCATGAGTTCGATCCCCACACCGGAGGTGACCCACATGGCCCGGCAGACCTCTCCTGACCCTCCCACTGCTCCCCTCAGTAGTGTACTTTGTCAGTTGGCCTGTTCTTCTCCCCATTCTGTCTCGGGCGCAACCTCTTACCACCCCTGCACCTCTGGCTTGTACCCCATTCCTGTATACATAAATAACTAAATATTTTAAAAAAATACAAACTCCATAGTCTGGTTCAGCATTGGCTCTTTCACACATGGAATATAAAAGGATCTATATGACTATAGTAATACAAAAATACAAAACCAGACAAAAAGAAAAGGCAGGAAGAAAAGTTCTTCTCTATAGAAAATTTCCAACCAATAAATACAGAATAAAAAATAGGATTAGAAAGCACCATTATTTAAGGTAAGAGACACAGGTGTTTATAACGATTCACAATGGCAATTTATGTAATGTTATCACACTATGCTCCTTCAATTAAAAAACAAAAAAGGATAAAAGTCCTCATTTTATAACCCCAATAGCACAACTGACTGAGCCCAGGATTTTCCCCCAAGACCCTTCTCTAGGAAGATTTCCCAGACAGTTCCAGAAGGTTCATTGCATTATATGCAATTTTCTTGAAGCCAGAAGTCTGGTCCCTTCCATCTGGTGTCCCATCATCTACCACACTTCCTGGCACATGGCAAATGCCAATAAACATTTGTTGAACAAAGTCATTTGCTACACCTTGTGATGGTGAATTTTTTTTAAGATTTATTTACTTACGCATCCAGAACTAGGGTACAGTCCAGAGGCAGGGGTGGTGAGAGGATTCACCAGAGACAGAGTGGGGAGCAAAACAGGTTGACTGACAAAGTACACTGCTGAGGGGAGCTGCAGGCAGGCCAGGAGAGGTCTGCCGCGCCATGTGGGTCACCTCTGGGGCAGGAATCAAACTGGTGCTGAAGCTGGCCACAGCCACTTTAGTGCTGTGTCCTTACCCCTTGTGCTACTGGGGAGGGCCTGTGTTGGTAAAGATTTAAATAATTTTCAAAGTGGGCATCCGTGGGTGGTTTTGTCTTTATTGCACTTACCCTTGCATTCTGGTAATTTGGTCCAATTTCCATGTGCTGTGCAGTTGACTGTGTCATTTCCAAACATGGCGTAGTGTGGCAAGCACTGAAAGACTGCCGTGTCCTGGTAGACGGAGTTGTTTCCAGCTGATGGCTTGTAAACACTGAGTTTCGCAAACATAGGTACAGGTGGTGGAGCACAGGTTACAGCTGGAGAGAGAAACAGCTATCTTTTTTAAAAAAAATATTTATTTATTTATTTATTCATACAGAACTGGGGTACATGCCAGAGGCACGGGGGCAGTGAGAGGCTTCACCAGAGACAGAGTGGGGAGCAAAACAGGCAGATCAATGTTGTACACTGCTGAGGGGAGCAGCGGGCAGGTCAGGAGAGGTCTGCTGCGCCATGTGGGTCACCTCTGGGGTGGGGGATCAAACTCATACTGAGGTGACTGCAGCTAGCTTGCAGTGCTGCATCCTAACCCATCCCACCACCAGGGAGGGCCCACAACTATCATTTTAATGAAAATGCCTGAGTCTTAAATAAACCTTTTCCAGAAAGAAAACTAAGCCCAATATTAACTTGAGAAAATGCAAACTTGGGTAAAAACAATAGATGGCAAATAAGAAAAGAGGATTTGGAAATGAGAGGTCTGAACCAGTCCAAAAAATGAAAAACACAAATTAAATTAAATCTCGCCACCAATCATTTGCTGTTTACAATCATATAGTAGTTTGGTTTCCATAAATCTTTGATCCAATGCTACGTGGGAAGATGCTTCGGGAAGTCGGAGTTGCACACCTCTGAGCAGCCGTGCTGACACTATCAATGCCAGTGACAGTGACTGTCACAAAGGCATCTGTGGCATTTGCCTTCCACTGCTAGTTCAAGTCCGCCGCTATTGATTACCTCTTGCTTTTACACTCACTACGTGGAGCTCATATAAGTGCATCACACAGACACATGGCAGGGGCCTGTCATCCTGACCTGTCTAACACAGAATTTCAACAAGCCAGAGAAGGATATAATGACATAACAGAAGTGAGCACAGGCCAAAACGTGATTTAAATTATGTTGTCTAGATCTTTGTTACTCAAAGTGTGATCCCGGGACTAGTCACGTGGGTACTTCCTGGGCACTTATCAGAAAAGCAGAAGCTCAAACCCACCTCAGACCTGAGAATCAAAATCAGCATTTTAACAAGAGGCCCAGGGATGCACATCCATGCTCAAGCATGAGAAGCTCTCATTTAGACTGAAGCTAAAGTAGCCTTTCTGTTATAACTGAAAAGCAAAGTGACCTTGCTCAATGGTATAAATCTGCTTCAAGGGAAAGTTTGTGAAGGTCCATGGTAATTGCTGCTACCAGGTGAACAATTCCAATTAATTCTGTCTTTAAAAAAAAAAAAAAAAAA